CCACCAGTATTCAGATTTGGGTGTATCAGATATTCGTGCCAAGTTTGGTCCAGTGACTGAAAATACATCCTGTATATCAGATATTTACATCGTGATTAATAAAAGTGGCAAAATTACAGTTAGGAAGTATCAACTAAAATAATTTTATGGTTGGGGGGTCACCACAATACGAGGAACTGTATTAAGGGGTCGCAGCATTAGCAAGGTTGAGAAACACTGGTCTAGCCTGTCTGGTGAATGCAACTCGAATCAGCTTGGTTGGTTGCCTATTTTATTGCTGTTTCTCCTCCACTCTCAGTTCTTTCCCTTTGCAGGTTTTTGGTTGGTTTCTCTTCTGCTTCGCTTCACTGTGCTCCTCCAGCACAGAAATAGACGGCAGAGTCACTCATCTGGCTGGCAGCTTTCTCCATGATGAAAATTCTCTGTTCTTTATCCTTCAGAGCATGGAAACCTTGGACAGACCCTTCAGCTGAGGGATCGCGAAAATCCTTCAGAAAGAGCTTGGGGGGTTGGCCAGGATGCTGAATATACCAGTATAGATAGTAGATTGTTGAATCGTAGTTACATTTGAGAATGACACTGCTTCCTTCGGTGACAGTCACAATGCCTTCTGTCTGGTTTATTGGTAATCCAAGACTCCCTCCTGTAACAATAAAAGTAGGATATTAATGGGCACAAGATAGAAGTGAAGATTTCTGGGCACCACAATAGAAGGGAGATGTTGACATGATGGAATGTGTCCAGAGGGGGGCGACCAAAATGATCAAGGGTCTGGAAAACAAGCCCTATGAGGAGCGGCTTAAAGAGCTGGGCAGGTTTAGCCTCAAGAAGAGAAGGCTGAGTGGAGACATAATAGCCATGTATAAATAGGTGAGAGGAAGCCACAGGGAGGAGGGAGCAAGCTTGTTTTCTGCTGCCCTGGAGACTAGGACGCAATGGAACAATGGCTTCAAACTACAGGAAAGGAGATTCCACCTGAACCTGAGGAAGAACTTCTTGACTGTCAGAGCTGTTCAGAAGTGGAACTCTCTGCCCCATAGTGTGGTGGAGGCTCCTTCTTTGGAGGCTTTTAAACAGAGGCTGGATGGCCATCTGTCGGGGGTGCTTTGAATGAGCTATTCCTGCTTCTTGGAAGGGGGTTGGGCTGGATGGCCCACGGGGTCTCTTCCAAATCTATGATTCTATGATTTTAGAAACACTGTGCATTTTGAAATAATTTTGAAATAATAGACTCCCTTTGAACATTTCTTGGTGACTATCCTTAAGCCTATGATCTCTTGTGACCCAGAACCAAAAGTGGGCATATTGTAGCCAACATTTCAAGCACAAATGATGAACCACTTTCTCCTCCAACACATTCCAAGTATTTTTCACCAAAAAAAATGACATTTTTACTTGTCCAATTCTGGTTTAAACCATACTTGGAGTCACGTTTACCTCTGCTTCCCTAGATTTCTATTTGCATTTCTAGGGCAGGTGTTGCATTGTTGGTTCAATGGGAGGGATTTGGCCCCAAAGACCATTGGAAGTTGTTGACCCTTTCTCTAAACACACATTATTTGAGAACACAGAAATGCTGGACCACTCTAACAACTACCATGTCAGACTACATAGAGAAGCTATTGAAATCCACAAGCATGTGCACAATTTCAACACAAAGGAGAAAATTATGCAAATGAACAAAATGTGGCTAGAGTTTTAAAAACCTCTAAAACATTCAAAAACAGGGGAATTCCAGACAAGAAACAATCAATACCAGCTAATCACCTCCGACCAAAGTATTCCCTAGTATTCCCCAAGGCAGTAAGAAGCCACACCTTGAAACTGCTAGGCCATTAAATGCTAATTAAGGTGGCCAATTGAAACATTCACACCTACCTCAAACAGACAAAGAGTTCTTTCTCCCGTCCTGGACATTCCACAGATATATAAACTACATTGTCCTAATTTTCAACAGACCTCACAACCTCTGAAGATGCCTGCCATAGATGCAGGCAAAACATCAGGAGAGAATGCTTCTAGAACATGGGCATACAGCCTGGAAAACTCACAACAACCCACACATATTGTTATTTCAGCCTTTCTACCATGGAAATACATGCCCCAAAATATTAGTATCCCTGCTTCCATGCAACTCCAAGCAATCACCAAATCCACACTGTGTGCCTTTTCCCAAAAATCAACACATACAGGGTCCTGCATGCAATAATTAGGGTTTAGTTATACAATCATTTATGATGCCCTTGCTTCTCATATACCTATATAATATCTATGGCATACGGGAGGATGCGGAAATGGATTAGCCATCACTTACTTGAGACCATCATGGTTAAAAGAGCCAACGTCCAAAGGAAAGGCATATTCTTTTCCTGGATCAAGCAGAGAAAACACAGGAGGGACTTTCTGTCTGTCAGCTGCCCTGCATGAAAAATGCAATTGACTCTTTCCTCTTGTAAGTACGTTTTTAAAAGAAGCAAAGTTATAGGATGGTACACCACAGGATGTGGGTTGCAACTGAGATCTCTGTATTGTGCAAAAGATAAAATCCATTCAATGATTACCACATTATTTGACTGCAGAAATGGTTCATAGAATCATAGAATCAAAGAGTTGGAAGAGACCTCTGGGCCATCCAGTCCAACCCCCTGCCAAGAAGCAGGAATATTGCATTCAAATCACCCCTGACAGATGGCCATCCATCCTCTGTTTAAAAGCTTCCAAAGAAGGAGCCTCCACCACACTCCGGGGCAGAGAGTTCCACTGCTGAACGGCTCTCACAGTCAGGAAGTTCTTCCTCATGTTCAGATGGAATCTCCTCTCTTGTAGTTTGAAGCCATTGTTCCGCGTCCTAGTCTCCAAGGAAGCAGAAAACAAGCTTGCTCCCTCCTCCCTGTGGCTTCCTCTCACATATTTATACATGGCTATCATATCTCCTCTCATCCTTTTCTTCTTCAGGCTAAACATGCCCAGCTCCTTAAGCTGCTCCTCATAGGGCTTGTTCTCCAGACCCTTGATCATTTTAGTCGCCCTCCTCTGGACACATTCCAGCTTGTCAATATCTCTCTTGAATTGTGGTGCCCAGAATTGGACACAATATTCCAGGTGTGGTCTAACCAAAGCAGAATAGATGGGGTAGCATGACTTCCCTAGATCTAGACACTATGCTCCTATTGATGCAGGCCAAAATCCCATTGGCTTTTTTTGCCGCCACATCACATTGTTGGCTCATGTTTAACTTGTTGTCCACAAGGACTCCAAATTTTTTTCACACGTACTGCTCTCGAGCCAGGCATTGTCCCCCATTCTGTATCTTTGCATTTAGTTTTTTCTGCCTAAGTTGAGTATCTTGCATTTGTCCCCGTTGAACTTCATTTTGTTAGTTTTGGCCCATCTCTCTAATCTGTCAAGATCATCATCATCACTATGTGGTGGAGGCTCCTTCTTTGGAGGCTTTGAAACAGAGGCTAGATGACCATCTGTTGGGGGTGCTTTGAATGTCATTTTCCTGCATCTTGGCAAAATGGGGTTGGACTGGATGGCCCACGAGGTCTCTTCCAACTCTAAGATTCTATGTCAGAAATGGAAGGAGAGTTTCCAGAGTCAGCATGGACGCGTTGCATTAGAATAGTCATCCTGTCCTCTCTCCACTAGGGATCAAAAGGACAATGAATTGTTGAAAAAAATCATGAATATTTTTGCAATCTATTCTTCTTGAAGTACTTTGGCCACATCATGAGAAGAAATGAAAGCTTAGAGAAGGCAATAATGCTGGGGGAAATGGAAGGAAAAAGGAAGAGGGGCCGACCAAGGGCAAGATGGGTGGATGATATCCTTGAAGTGACTGGATTTACCTTGAAGGACTTGGGGGTGGTGACAGCCGACAGGGAGCTCTGGCGTGGGCTGGTCCATGAGGTCATGAAGAGTCAGAAATGACTGAATGAATGATCAACAACATTCTTCTTGTACTTGAATATCTCAAAATGTTACAGAGGATTTTTCTGCACGGAACATGTGGTTCTGCATAGATCTAACAATTTATTTATGTGTGTGTGTGTGCATGCTTTTTAAAAGGCATGTTTTTTCTGCAAAAACAAAGAATAGAATCATACAGTTGAAAGAAATCACAAGGATGATCAAGTCCAACCCACTTCTACCACGAAGAAATACACCATCAAAGTACTCCCTACAGATGACCATCCTTTGTTCAAAAGCCTCTCAAGAAGGAGACTCTGTCACCAAGGCAGCACATTCCAATGTTATACAGTTCTTGCATGCTGTTTAAATCCATTGCTCCATGAAGTCTCTGGAGCAGCAGAAAACAAATCTACTCAATCCATCCTCAATATGACATCCTTTCAAATATGTAAACATTGATATAATGTTCACTCTTAACTTTCCCCTCTCAGGACTGAACATGTCAGCTCCCTAAACTGCTTCTCGTGCAGCTTGACTTGGCTTTGAATTTTGTTGCACAGAATTGGACACAGTTTTCCGTGTGAAATCTGATCAAAGCAGAATAGATCAGTACTTCTCAACCTGTAGGTCCCCAGGTGTTTTGGCAACTCCCAGAAATCCCAGCCAATTTACCAGCTGTTAGGATTTCTGGGAGTTGAAGGCTAAAACATCTGGGAACCCACAGGTTGAGAACCACTGGAATAGAGTGACATTATACTTCCCTCAGTCTCAACACTATACATTATGTCCCTATTGAAGCGCACTGGCTTTTTAAACTGCTGCACCTCTCTGCTGATTGTGGTTCATTTCTAGAACATCTCCACATGTTTGACTATAGGGAAAATTCTCTACTGAAGTTTCACTTCTCTGTTGTTCTTCCCAACAGTGCTTGCTAATAGTCAGGAAACTTGGCTGAATGATAGAGACTATTCTTTCTACTCCTAGTTCACTTGTCTGATTCCGTTTCTCACGTTTGTAGATGGTCCATGATTTGCAGGTGTACAATAATGTTGGAAGGACAACAGCTTTATAAACAAGCATCCTGATCTTCAAACACTCTCCGCTTTATTTGAAAAAACTTACAGCGTTATATTTGTGTTATACTTCAATGTTAATGTTGACTTTAGAATAAGTACAAAGGACTTGGAAACCTTGGCTATTGAGCGTTCAAACTGGAGGCCAGTGTTACCAAAAGGGCTATGGATTTTGAGGAGGAATGAATGGAGGGCGTAAAGGAGAAATGTGTCAAGAGGAAGGTGTGTCAAGCAAACCCTTATCCAGACTGCCGTGCTGGAAGAAGCAAAGACCACCAGCATTGAAGCGATGGTCCTCCGCCATCAGCTACACTGGACCGGCCACATTGTCTGGATGCCCAACCACTGTCTCTCAAATCAATTGCTCTACTCCAAACTCAAGAACAGAAAACAGAATGTTGGTGGACAGGAAAAGAGATTTAAAGATGGGCTCAAAGCCAACCTTAAAAACTCTGGCATAGACACTGAGAACTGGGAAGCCCTGGCCCTTGAGCGCTCCAGCTGGAGGTCAGCTGTGACCAGCAGTGCTGCAGAATTTTAAGAGGCATGAATGGAGGGTGAAAGAGAGAAACGTGCCAAGAGGAAGGCGTGTCAAGCCAACCCCGATCAAGACCACCTTACACTTGGAAACCAATGCCCTCACTGCGGGAGAAGATGCAGAACAAGAATAGGGCTCCACAGTCACCTACGGACCCACCAGAATACTGATCCTGGAAGACTATCCTACTCGGCCAACGAGGGATCGCCTAAGTAACTGAAAATCGATGTCTTTCTTTTGTGAAAGACCATGTGGATCTGGAATAGGTGTCTACAGTCACTTATGGACCCACCACAAAACTCTCCCCTTGGAAGACAGTCAGACTCAGGCACGAGTCATAGCCTATGTATGTACATATGGATGAATTATTATAAAACACTTTACTTTCCTTGTTTATCCTTCTCTCATATATTGCTCTCTACTGCAGTCATGCTGGAAAGAAGTCCAAAGATACCTTCACTGAAATAGTCAAGCTCTTGGTTGGTGTAGGTTTTTTCGTGCTTTATGGCCATGTTCTTGAGGTCGTGTTCTAGAACATGGTTGTATAGCCCAAAAAAAACCTACAACAACCCAGTGATTCCAGCCATGAAAGGCTTCGACAATACAGTCAAGCTCTTAAGACCTCAATTACAAGATTCATCGCAATGCCTAAAAAAGGAAGCAGGAGCAGAACTCGGCAACCCTGTAAGAAAATGACAATGTCTCGGTGGCCCTCTAGTGACAAAAACACATTAAACAGGAACATTTGTATCTGATAAGAAAGGAAAGACATTTCTCACTAACCATTTTTTAAAATGGCCTTATCCCATTCATTATCTGCCAGTCTATTAATAATTTCTTTGGGAGGAATCTACAAAAAATTGTTCCTTGCTTCTTCTTCTTTTATTTTGGAATTCTAGGCAAACAAATGTGGGCCACCAAAATTGCATGCATTGGGTAAATGTTCATAGACACACTTTTGTCAATACAGGGAAATGCAGCAAAATTGCATACTGCGAGGAAATTATGTGGCTGTGAAGGAATACTACCAGAACATAACAGGAAGTTGCTGTAGTTCGGCATTGGCTTCATTCTGTTGTTATTTTTCACCCAATACTCAACAGCCTCGTTCAGATCTCGCAGACTCAGGGCCGTGGCTTCCTTGATGGAATCTAACGATAAAGGTAAAGGGTTGTTGTAGGTTTTTTCGGGCTATATGGCCATGTTCTAGAGGCATTCTCTCCTGACGTTTCACCTCCATCTATGGCAAGCATCCTCAGAGGTAGTGAGGTCTGTTGGAACTAGGAAAAAGGGTTTATATATCTGTGGAATGACCAGGGTGGGACAAAGGACTCTTGTCTGCTGGAGCTAGGTGTGAATGTTTCAACTGACCACCTTGATTAGCATATAATGGCCTGACAGTGCCTGGAGCAAACTTATGTTGAGAGGTGATTAGATGTCCTTGTTTGTTTCCTCTCTGTTGTTGTGCTGTTGTAATTTTAGAGTTTTTTAATACTGGTAGCCAGATTTTGTTCATTTTCATGGTTTCCTCCTTGAAATTGTCCACATGCTTGTGGATTTGTGCTCACCTCCATTTCTAAGCTGAAGAGCTGGTGTCCATAGACGCCTCCAAGGTCATGTAGCTGGCATGACTGCATGGAGTGCCATTACTTTCCCACTGAAGCGGCACCTATTGATCTACTCACATTTGCATATTTTCAAACTGTGAGGTTGGCAGAAGCTGGGCCTAACAGCAAGATCTCACCCCGCTTCCCAGATTCAAACCACTGACCTTTTGGTCATTAAGATCAGCAGCTCAGCGGTGTAACCCACTGTGCCATCGGGGACTCCATGATTGAGTCTATCCATCTTTAATGTAGCCTTTTCCT